GTTTTGCTGGTGGCAAAGGAGTTGTGTTTTTTAGCTAGAGTGGCACTGAAGTTCTGAATGAAAGAACAGACTATTGAAAGAAAAGAAGTATAGAACATTTGGTGTGATGTATCTTGACAAGGCACTTGAGCAGTATTCAACACTCAAATTATTACAGAAAGAATTGGGTGATTCAGGAGACCCAGACAGGGAAAATATTGAATGAACTGTCATCTCTGATGAAGCAGAATGGAGCAGACACTCCCATTTTTAAAAAGATTGCCCAATTATTAAAGTTTTCTTATACAGCCTCTCAGCTACTATTTAAATTCATTTTTCTAAATGCTTTAGGACCATCCAAAAGTGGGAACTCCAGAATTTCGCTTCATTGTGCTCTTCACTGCCACTCTCAAGTGCTTTTAAAGGTGACGTTAGTGCCACACAGCCTGTAATGACTAATGCTTGGCTGTCTCCTCTGGCCTCCTCTGCTCATTCATCTCCTGCTTTCAGTTCCTCCCTGAACTGCTCATTGGTCTGGTTACTTTACTGGCAGGGGCTTATTAAAAGGGTATAGGGGTGATTATTTTATCTCACATCATCAGCAGAGAAGCAACTGCTCCTTGCAGCTTCTGCTGAAGGAAAAAGCCACAGATGAATGAACAATAAGAACGGGTTTGTTTCCCGTGTCTCTCTATAGCACAGGAAGTTTTGCCCAAGCACTGGGGATTTAGGGGGTTGTAGTGAGTACATCTGGAAACATCTGAATGCAGACTGAGGTTTTGGGATGCTGTAGCTTCGCTATAACCTTCCCTACAGTTCAGTGTGAGCGTGGGATGGATACAAGGGCATCCAGAGGAACCCCTCAGAAACCCAAGTATCCATTGTAATCTGCCCTGCCTCTTTGCAAAAAGCAGCACAGAGAGCTCTGCTCACCCTGTGCTCACCCACAGCTTTGTACTGACATGTGGCCCAGCCATGTCCAGTTAGTCCACCTGGAAGCAGTTGTCCTTGCAAAAAAAGATCAGGAAAAGCGTGTGCTGGAGAGATTCAGTTGTTGAGCTCAGCTTCCTGCTGTGCCAGTATACTCTTTCATTTGGAATTACCTTAAAAGATGCAACTCCGACATGAATTCGTGCCTTTAAAATACTGAAATGAGCCTAGAATCGCAGCCTTTAAGTGTTCCAGGCATTTTAATGACGGTGAAGGTCAAAGGCAAAGTGCAGACTGTGAGGAGGTGTCAGAGACTAATGCAATTCTTATTTCCACTGAGGTAAGTGGAGCTCAGAGTGGAAGAAGGGGGGAGAACACAAGAGGAGCTGCAAGGAGAAGGAAGGACCGCAGTCAGCAGTGACACAAATAACATTCCAAAGCTCCAGCGTTGTACAGTGTCCCAGAAAGCCCAAGGATGCTCTTGCCCTTGGGGCAGCAATTCGAGGAATACAGAAAAGGCAAACATGGCTTTTAGAGAAGGGGCTGTGTGATATGGTGGTGCTGGGATGAGCAATTCCTCTTTGATAATCTACCAGCTCCACCTGGAAGGGGGGGAAGAGAAGGAAGCAGATGATTCCTGACAGAGTCCACCTGGAAGAAGGTTATAAAAGGGGGATTGTGGTGCATTGTAAAGTCTTGAGCTAAGAGGAAAGTAGGAAGTGAGAGGTTAATGCTTTTTAGTCTGTTTGGATTTTTCAAAAAAAACCCTTTATTTGTTTTATTTATTAAAGAATAAATTCCCTAGCTTGCAATGTGCTCTTGCAGGGTTTTTTGAGTTAACAGTAGGAAGTGTATTGGAGAAAGGTGCTGAAAAATCCCTGGTCACTGCATTGAGCTCTTCCTGGGTGAGTAAATATTGTTTTATCTCATACATACTACAGCAAGAGAAAAGAAATAGAAAGAACTTGAGCAAGTTCTTACTCCCTGTTGTGGGTAATGCAGCTTTGTTTGTGCTCAGTTAAAAAGAGACTTTAAAGGTGAAAAGTCTTGTAATTTTTTTTCTGTATGGCACTTCCAGGCTCAGCATAACCAGATGTTTCTAAGAGTTTATTGCTAAATCACTGATGTCAGTGATGCTGGACTTTGGTGTGCTTAGGAACCAATACCTTTTGCAGGTACACAAATTCAGTAATAGATGGCTTCTTTTTCTTTTTCAAATCAAGCACTGAGGTAATATATTGGCAGGCAGGAAAGGGAGCCATTCATTTGCAGAGGCTTGCTAGGCTCCAGATAGATCTCTGCAAAGCTTGGGAAAGTAGCTGTCTGTGGCTCTGCTGAGTTCCTGTTTAATTACTGAGCCAGACATGACCTTGCACAACTTGTACAACACAAGGGACTAGCAGATCTTCTGTGGTAAACACAGCCCATAATAACTCTGTTCTCTAATCTCTGTTTCTCTAGCTGATGCCACCCTTTATCAAACTATATATTATCCCTGAAGCACCTAATTGAGAAAAGGCTTTGTGAGGGAATAAAAACATTTGAGTTGCAGGAAGTAATTACACGGGAACAGGCTGACTTGTATTATTATGGCTACACACTAATATTGTTATCAGAAGGCTCACTTCTAGTTGTGCCCTCTGGGTTGGCAGATCTGTTTGGTCACTGGGAAGAAATGCTGAAGAGGTTGAACAGGGTGATGTTATTTAGTGGTATTTTTCACCCAGGATAGGAGGTGTGCAGCTGTTTACTTGCTTTTTTTTACGTGCACCTGCTGTGGATTAAAGCATTTCCAAGGGACCTGGGTGTGCTTGGCCCCTTAGGAGAACCTAACAGAGAGTCCCTAGGGCTCTGCAGAGTGAACCCTCTCTGAACAGCCAGCCACAGCCACTCCTTCGTAGCAGTGCTTTGGCATCACCTAAATATCAGCCTCTTAAATACTTGTTTCTGCCTCTCGAGCAGGGCTGCTCTGCCTTCCGGGGTGAAGGCAGGTCCACTGGTTCTTAATTGCCTCCTTCCCCAAGTGGCTGGGGAGATTGTTCTCTAACTGGCTGTAATTATCCTTTGCTGTAAGCTAACCAAAGTGCACTCTGATTTCGGTGTTATGTTCATTAGCAAGTGCTCTGTTTTGTGTGTTAATGCGTTCTGGGAATGTCCAGCCTCTAAGAATGGACCGATGTGTGCAGCAACTGTTTGTGAAATACCCTGAGGAACAAATCTGTACCAGGTAACTGGTTTGAAATCAAGCCACAGAATGTCTACAGGTTCTGATCCCCGTGGTTTGTGTTTGTGGCACGATTGTTGTTGGAGGTGAGGAGAGAGTTTGTCTCACGAGTGGCACTGCTGGTGGTTTTGTGATGAAAGCGGGCAGCTATGTTGGCACTGGAGAAATGCGGGAAGAATGAAAACTTCCCTTCATACCTTGACTCAAACACACTCCAGAAAGGAATACTCACCATGCATTCCTTGCAGAAAGTCTGAATCCTAGCAAATGCTTTTCCTTGGTGCTGTCTAGGCATTGAGCAGTGTGGACTGGTGGGTTTTCAGGTGAATAAATAAAAATAATGCTAAATGCTTTTAACAGCATCCAGATCCTACTCAGGCCCCTGGATCTGGAGTTTTTTTGTGGTGTCTCCTAAACTGAGCATGGAAGTGTGGCTGCTCTGCCAAGCACAGGTGGAAAGCTTTGCCTGCTTTTGTTGTTGATTGCTGGGTAAAAAAGGAGGTGACTTTTTATCTTTTTAAGCATAATGAGATTATTCCAGTGAAAAGGATGATCTGAATCCGCAAGTGTCTCTGTGTGGACTCTCCTCTGCTGGTAATGGGGGCTCTTTACCCGCTGTGGAATAATAGTAGACTTCCTTAGTGGAGCAAACCACGTCAGAGAGACGCTCTCAAAAATGTGCGGGCGGAAAGCTATTGCTGGAAAACTTGTTTCACAATTGCCTTCTCAGTTCATTTCCTCTTGTATCCAAGCCCTTTCTCGGAGCATTTTCCCAGATATTTCCAGAGAGAGAGAGAGAGAGAGAGAGCACTTGATCACTGAGCTTGTTCACAGTGCTCAGAGCTCAAAGACACCAGGCATTCCAAATCAGCCCTGATGAGCATTCATCTGCCTGGTTTGGCTAATAGAATTACCCAAACGCTTCTGATGTGCAAAATGGTTTTAATTGTATATGAGGATATTGCTTTTGCAGGGTGTTTTGATACGTCAGTGGTCTGGATGAGGAGGCAGATGAATACAGAAATAGGAGTTTAGAAATTAAATAGAAACCTGCATTTCAAAACAAAAGGCTTTCTTATTGTCCTTGAAAGCACTTGGTATTTACAGAAAAAAACCCTCTAGAATAAAGGCTTGAGAATGTGATATTGCATGCTTAGGGACTTCAATTAATGTCTGAATATGATTCCCACATGTGGAAAATTACAAGGAAATAACTGTCATGCTACAGAGTTGTGTCTATTCTTTCCAAGCTGCATACATCTTTGAAAATTACTGTGAACAAATCTAGTGGCATCCCAGGATACTCCAGATCATCAAATAGGTGTAAAAGAGTCCCTGAAGAATAGCCTGTTGGCTTTTCACTGTGTCAGATGGTTATGTCACTTGCTCCAGTGTATGCTATGCTTCCATCCTGTCACTGCTGCCTTTAAATGCTTATCTCAAATTAGGACTGTAACTTTTTCAGGCCTTTCCCCCCCTCCCCCCCGCCGCCTTTTGCCCTTTTTGTTCTTTCTCAGTACAGAGATAGTGAGGTTTAAAAAGGCAACCATCTTCTGTCTACTTTACAGGAATAGTGAAATAAATGATACAGGAAAGGTCTATAAATGGTATTTTTGATATGTATACCCCCCACATACATGTGTATCCCCCTCCATACATTCGCAGGTGCATCTCTGGCTGTGTGTGGGCAAACAGGCTTTTAAAGTGATCTCAGGTTGCGGTTTCTGCATCTGCTGGCTGCAGTTGTGCACTTTCAGCCTTTATTAGGTAGTGGAGCTTTCCAGCTTTTTCAAGCTCTTTGTCTGTTTTCAAATATCCATTTGCACGTACGTGTGTCTGGGATGGTATCCCCCAATCCTTGCCTTACCTTCACGTCGTTGACGTTCATCCTCGTGCCCTCCTTCCCGACGAAGATGTCGTCTATGTCAACCAGGATGTACCTATCCAAGGACAGCGTCAGCTTCTTGCCAGTTAGGAAAGAGATGGCATCGATAAAGATGAGTTTGTGCAACCAGAAGGTCAGGTTGTTTCCAAAGAGCACTCTCTGGATCCCGTCGTGGAGCCCCAGGTCCTGGATGACGGTCGGGTACAGAGCGGCCCTGGGCAGCGCCGGGGGGGTGGGCCTGGAGGGCTGCAGCTCCGTTAAAAGCACCGGCTGGTAGGTGGAATGGTTGAACTGGAACACTGTCCAGTCTTCCCCGGGCAGGGGCCCTTTCTCAGCCCTCGGAGCCTTGGTGATGCGCAGCAGGGGCGACCGAGGGTTCACCACGCAGTCCTTGAGGGCCACGTTGTTGTAGAGGTGTAAGGGCAGCCCTTTCAGTTTGGTGCTGGGGGAGCTGTTCTCGTTGGCTTTATGAAAACCAATGATGCTAACACTGTATTCCACACAGTATTTTTCCAGGAGCTCTCTATTCCACGAGTCCATGGATACGTACTTCAAAATATTCTCGTATATAACGATCGTGTATTTCCCTCTTCCGTTGTCCGTGAGAGGGGGAATATCCCCCTTGGCCGGCGCTATGACCATGTGGTACTGGAATCTGCTGGACTCCAGGATGGCTATGATGTCTTGCCCCAGCTGGGAGTACTGGCTCTCCACAAACAGGAGGACGGTGGGATCGGTTTTGGACGGATCAATCGGCTTGGCCGTTCTCATCTCCGCAGCCCTGTAGGGTAGAAGTTTGAGGGGTTCACACTCCGCTTCTCCGGTGGCTTCCACGAGGGTCATTTCCTGCTTGTAGCCGGTGTAGAGGAAGTAGGCGGAGATGAGGATGCTGGCCAAGCAGAAGGCTGCCAGGAGGATGACCAGCGTTCGGAAACTTCTGCGGAGCTTCACGATCAGATTCATCTTTCGCGGGACTTCCGGCTGCTGTCGGACCTGCCGCTTTGCCGGTTCTCTCTCTTCCTAGAGCGCCATGGGAATGAGGAGCTGCGGAGGTGCCGATTCCCCTTCCGAGACGTTCATGTGACCATTGCAGAGCATTTATGAAGCTGTCAAGGAGGTTGTAAAGCTGTTGGAGCGGGAAGTCAAAGGATCCGGAAAGCTAAATTGAAAGAAGTTTTCTCAGAATGCAGCAGCTGCCAATAATCAATGGAGAGAACTCTCAACATCATCTGCAACAAGAAGTAAAAAGAGGAGAAAGTAAAATAAAATCCATGAAGCAATTAAAAACACACGTTAATAAGGCTGGTGATTGATGCTGGCAATCTGAGTTGAGAGGGAGGTTTGTGAGCAGCTCAAGGAGCACTCAGTGTCACTTGCTTTCTCGATGCGTTAGGAGAAGCTGCATCAAACAGCTCTGCCATCTCCTCAGGCTATAAAAGTAAAGCCTAAACGTAACTTTTTGAGGATGTGTATCTATCAGCATTTCTTATCTGAAATGGTTCGTTGCTTTTGCAAATGGGAATGATTGAAGATTGTAGGGCAAAATTAGGAGAAAGTAAAAGTTGTTTAAACGTGGGGCTGTGTTCCATGTCGCCTGCAGCTGAAGGACTGGGCCTTCAGTGTCCCTGTATGGATGAAGTACGAGGTGCTCAAACCTCGCTGCCTGGCTGGCTCTGAAGCTCTTGTACCGTTCCTGGTAGATCTCCCTAAAATCATGACAAATTGCCATTGGTAACAGTAAACCATCTGACTCAGAGGCAGTTCAAGCTAACTAAATAAATAGCCCGTGCTGCTCTATGGATTTATAAAGGAATTAACATCTCTCTGAATTATTTATGTTGTTTGGCTGTTGGAACAATGCAAGATGGTAAACAATGGATGATTTTGGAACTGCAGGGAAGAAGTGCTTTTTCCAGGCAGATACTTGGCACTTGATGCGTCCTCCTCTAATAACTCAGTTGGAAGTGTGCCAGGAGATTCACCCCCCTGGATTGTGGGCTATTCCATCAGCGACCCTGCTGTGTGTCACACAGCGATTGGCCTAAAGGTGAGCGCAGTGGGGAGTTTATCCGTGCGCAGAAGTGAACAGAAATGAGACGAATGTCCTGCATTTACTAATTCCTCACGTGCGAGAGGAGAAATAGAAAAGGAATCACAGCGATCACAAGGAAATGAAAATCACCCTGATAATTTTCAGAGCATTTGCCCCGCTTTGGTGCTTCCCTTGTTCTGCGGTTCTGTCTGCTTGCCGGGATTTCGCTTCTTATTAAACCTCCAATTAAGATTTCCTCAGAAGATAAAACCGGATCAAGCGAAGCATCCTCTGTGCGCCCGTGTTTGAGTAGTGGTGACGTTGATGAGTCACTTAGCCCGACTCCCGGGGTTTACCAGCTCGGGAGAGCAGCTCTCCCCGGGAAGGGCAGCCTCAAGGGGTGGGTAATCTGCTCCCCCAAACAGCCGATTGCAACAAGCCCTAGTTGTGCTGGCGTGAGACAGGCAGGTATCTCGGCAAAAATAATTAACCCGCCTGTCGGACTCTGCATCCTCCTCTTGCTTTGGGCACTAGAGGGCAATATGTTCTTGCTTTTTGGAGCCGACACCTGCCGTCCCCTCGGCTCCGGAGCGCACAGCCCTGCCCGCGGGCAGGGCTCCCCTCCAGAAGGGGCTCGGAAATCCCCAGGGCAGGTAAAACGTCTTAATTAAGGCTCCTGTGTTTAAAATTAAATAAAACCCGGGGCTTCTGCTCTAAGAAATGTGCTGCTAAATCACCCTGAGTGCTTAGCAAATGTTTCAGCCCACACCTGTAGCAGAAGGGAATAGCATGCAAGGAAACCTAAAATTGCACATTTTCCCCTCAGAACAGCATGCAAGGAGACCTAAAATGGCACTTTTCCCCTCAATCTGCTGTCCTGCTGGATCTCCTGGGTACTGCTACTGCAAGCTGTCAAAATAAACCTCACAAATACTATTGCTTGTATTACTAAAATGAGAAGGCTCTGACTTTATGGAAGCCAAAACAAAACTACATCTTCATCCCCAATTATTTCCTCCAAATAATAACACCGGTAAAATCTCTTCCAGTTAAAATATTAATGATCAGGTTTAAGGTAAAGTACTGTCTGTTGTACGCAGGTGTTATAACAGGTGCAGGCATTCTCACTTATCTAGGTGTCTAAATACTAGAACTGATGAGGGATTTACACTTGCATATGGAAACCTGGCATTGGAGCAGAGCTTCCTTTTGGTTTGCACATTTTGTTTGAACTGCTCTGTTGAACTGATTATACTGTTCAGTAAAAAAAAAAAGAATAGTGTGAAGTAATTAAAGTTGATGAGAATAAATCAGCTATATTAGCCATTAGTGGGACATTTTCCAAGGCATAATTGGAAGTTAAGTGCCATTTGTGCCTTTGAAACTCTCCCCCTTAAAGTTCAACAGCTTTATATTCGCTCAGAAATTCAAAGACCTTTGGAGAGTTCCTGTGCTATATTATTTGAAAAACATGAAAATAGGCCATATTTCATAATTAGTGTTACTAATGGAGTTTTAGAAACTGGTATTTGAGGTCCTGTGTTCCTACGGTCACCGATGAGCACTCATTGACTCCTCAGGGGCGTAAAGCCCAAAGCTGGGCATGTTTTGGTCAAGAAATCAAGGTGTTGGTCCTTCAGTAGATCTTCAGCTGTGTGTTCAGCTGTCTCTGTAGATGTGGGGCCTTTCCCCAGCAAGAGCAGAGCTCTGCAGTGTAACCCTGCTGGGATGTCAGACATCTGCAGGGACTGTAATTTTTCTTTAATTCAGGCAGCCTGAAGAAAAACGGAGGTTTAAAAATTGCTGCCTCTTTGCTAAATGATACTTCCTGCTCTCACCCTGAAAATGCGTTCGACTGATGACTAAAGTGTACTGATTTGGAAGATGATTGATTGGGAGATTAGGACTCGACTATTTAAAACCGATAGCACGATAGTGCAGAGAAACAGCCTCTTATTAACACCACGTGTTAACCTTGCCTCAGGAATTAAAGCTGATCCTCTTCTGGTCCAGTTCCTACACACAGACCTTCTCCAGAGCTTGGCGGTGTAACGAGCAGGTTGAGAGCATGTTGCTGATGACAGCCCTGAGGAGAGGAGCAGGACACTTGTACCAGAGCACTGTGGTCATTCCTAATCTCCTGTCTGCACCGGCGTGCGTTGCTGGGAGTAATTCACCTGGAGGCAGGCCAGAGGTTTCCTTTCATCTTGTTCCAGCATCAATCAGAAGTCAGAATGTCTTTATTTTCTATACAGAAAACTTTCCTTTAGGCTAAAAAATTCGTGTAAACCCTTTCCTCTTTTCCTTCCTTTCTAAGCTCCTGTGACTCCTGCCGTTTACCAGCAGCCCAATGAATCATGACACCTGCTTGCTGCTCCCTGCATAGGACTCCTCATTCATTACAGAAACAAGTGACTGATTTGAGTGATAAATGACTCCTGCTGACCATTAGCAAAAATCCAGGGTTACTGTTCACTGCAGAGATAAAAACCAGCTTTTTGTGTTTGGGGTTGGTTGGTTGGTTGGTTTTGGTTTTGTTTTTTGGTTTTTTTTTTTCCCCAGAAAAGTTTCTAAGAGACATTTTTAGTGAGCTCACAGAACTTACACGCTTCTTGAAAGTAACTTTTTTTTCTTTCTCAAGCTTAAGGTTATAGTGTGTTCTGTGCTTATAAGCGTGGCTTTGCTCATAAGGGGTGGTGCTGACAGCTGCTCCTGGCTTACCACAAGGATTTAGAAAAGTCTTTTACCTAGACAAGGGCAGCTTCTCAGCTGGTAAAAGCTGTGGCAGGTCTTCTGGCTCCTGTTTTATAATTTCTGAGTGGAGAGGCTGCTCAGCACTTTGATCTTTTCTGTTTGTTTTCAATGAGTAATCATCTGTAAGTGAAACCACCAGTTTTTCAGTGTTTTCAGCAGTTTGGTCAGTCTATAGTGCACATGTAATCTTGTCTGATTTCAGAAAGCTAAATGATGCCAGAGGGTGAAGTCCATAATCAGTGAATATAAAGCAAAGTGTTTGAAATACCTCAACTTGTGCACTCAGTGAAAGCTGGAGTGGTCTTAGCATGAAACAATACTGGGAAGGGAGCAGTTTGACCCTTTTGTTTTCTATCTCTCTGTGGCTTTCAGCTTTTCCAGATGATTTCAGAAACTGGAGCTTTGATGGAAAAGGCTCCCTGTAGCAGAGTGGCCGGAGGTATCTTTGGGGATGGGTTTTACACGTGTACATGTGATGCTTTTGGACAGGCAACTCTAACTTCTGCTAATGAGACCCCCACATAAAGACCTTCTACAGGAACTGGTGGGATGCTTTTACAAGTGGGAACTAGTGAGACTGTTCCTTCTGCAAATCCTGCCTGCCAGAATTGTCACCTCCTTTGTTTCCCCAGCTCACCTGTAACACTTTTGTGTGGCTTTACTCGTGGCACAAATGTACTGTAAGGCTTAACTAAACCCCACTTGTGGTGCATGTTGCCTGGTGTGCCTCATTTTCTTCTGACCCATTAACTCCCAACAGCCCCACAGTCATCTGGACCACCCAGAACCTCCCATAAATATCCCATCCGTGATGTTTCCTTCAAGTGTCGCAATTTATGGATCTCTGACGCCTCAGTACTTCTGAACATAATAAGCAGTTGTAATATTTCCTCAGAAATAGCTGGCTGCTGATTTCTCTGGAGTGTGAGGTGTGGAATCTCCTAGAAACTGGTAATTTAGGTGCAGTCTTAGGAGAACCATGTGTGAAGAGAGAGCCTATATATGTATTTCTTGTTTATTGACAGAGTGACTCTAGTCACCATCATAAGAAGTAGCTGTTAGTGATCACATTCACTGAGCAGCTCTTTAGGTTGTGTGGTGATTTCAAAGTATATTAGTTTATCAAAATTACCAGAATATATGCATTTTGATGACATCAGGCAAAACACCTTACCTCTGTGTCCAGACTTAAAATGATGTAATAATAATTTAAAAGTGCCTTAATTTTCAATATATTTGTTCATCTTGCCTGACTGATGGTGATAAGATCTGTCATTTTGACCAGTAACTCACCAAAAATTCAAGAAGCTCAAGAGCATTATTTGGCACAGGCCTGACTTTTCCAAGGTCACTTGGCATCCCCGTGGCTGAGC